GGGACAGCACTGCTATTTACATCACACTCAACATGGGACAGGAGGCTGCAGAACTGAACATAACCTGAGATTTACATCCAAAAATGTGAGTTTGAATTGCATTTGTCTACTGGCTCTTTGGCAGAGTGAATGAATCTCTGTACTTCTCTAAGTTTCAGCTTCTGAACCTATAAAATAGTGATAGCAATGCATATTTCCTAGGGCTTCTAGAAGACTGAGCTAACCTCTGCAGTCTGGCTTGCATGATCTAACCTGTACCATGCATTCATTTTCTCTAATCAAACAGGAAGTTGGGTATTAGCGTTAAGGATTACTTTTTCCTGAGCCAGGCATCATGACGTACGCCTGTATGCCAGGAGGATGAGACAGAAGGATCACATGAGTTCAATGCCAGTCTCAGCAACATAGCAAGACCCTAAGTAACTCAGTGTGACCCTGTCTCTAAATAAAATATAAAAAAGGGCTGGGGATGCGGCTCAGTGGTTAAGCATCCCTGGGTTCAATCTCTGGTATCAAAAAAAAAAAAAAAAAAAAAGAATTACTTTGTCCTGAAACCACCCTTTCTGTCAGTTGGAGCATCTCCCCTCAGCCCTGGCTATCCTGTGTTTGGGAGTCTTGGGTTTCCTAGCTGTTACTTCCTGTTTTATGGTTGAATCTTGGCTCCCACAGTGACCAGTATACTGAGGATTGTCATGGGTAGGAGGAGCACAGAATCAAAATAGACTACTCCCTCAGCTCCTTCCTGTTACCTTGTCTCTGAAACACTAACAGCAGGAACACATCCACCTGTCTCCTCATAGAGAGAGCCTAATACCTAATGCTCCCTTGGTGGGGAGACTTGGGGAGTGAAGCATCCCCAGAACAAGTTAAGAGCAATTATGCCCAGAGTAAATAAGACTCAGAAGTCTGAAATCATGCAATGCCTCCAGATTTTATCCACACACAGTGGGATGCTCAGATTTGCTATTCCTCCTCATGTTCTGTGCCCGTCCAAGTGTGGGGTAATTCAATTACATCCACCACTTTCATTAGTACATGGTTACAAAAGTTTATTCAAATATTACATAAGGAACTAATCCACCGTCAAGGAACGCATGTGGCAAAATATACCTTTATAATTGTTACGAGAAATAAAGGCCATGATTCTCAGATGATTAAAAAAAAAAAGAAAAAAAAATCATTGGCAAGAGACCACTTAGATAAAACTAAAGAAACTCTTCACTTGCTTAATTAAGAAGAAATTATTGAAAGTTGCTATGTGCTAGGTACTATGCCAGGGTCTAGCTATAGAGGTGACCTTGCATAATTATAAGCGCACAAGGAGTGACAGAAAGTAAATACATTTAAAGCTATAAGAGATTATAGGAATAATATTGTCATGTGTGCAGGGTGTAAAGAGAGTCGATAATGTCATTTGCATAGAAGGCCAGGAAGCTTTGTGCAGAGGGATGAGCTTTACTTGAGGGTTGTTCAACAGGCAGATGGTGTGGGAGGGGCATTTGGGCTCAAAGAAGAGTGACAGCCAAGATCCAGCACTGAGGATCTGCCTGGCTGGCTTGCAGCCTGCCCTCATTCTGTAGGGACAAAGAAGTCCATCACAGTGTGGAGGGTAGAGAACACAGAAAGCGGGGTAGGTAGGGAGCAAGAATGTCACAGAGATGAGTTGTGGCCTAGGAGTGGTCCCCGAAGCATTCTGAACTATGTTTAGAAAGATCATCCTAACAGTTGGCATGAAAGGTGGGTCTGAAAGTACCAGACTTTGGCAGGGAAGCCATTAAGATCAAATGCAATGCTACAGAGGAACAGATTGGAGGGAAGAAGAATGTTTAAGGAGGTGGACTATGATGACATCACCACTCATCTACTCCTCCAAGCCAGAAATCTCTCTGTTTGTTGGAGACGGTCCAGTTTAATTTAGCTCCAGCTAAACAGCTTCTCTCCATTGCTATGCCCACCACCCTGGTTCAGGTTACTTTCATTTCTCTACAATTTCCCCAATTTTATTTTTGCCACTACTCTGCACTTCTCATGTTGGTTTTCTAATAAGAGGGATTTTTTGAAAATTAATTATCACCTTTACTTAAAACACTTTAGAAATTCTTCACTGTGTGTAGGTCCAAACAGGCACATCGATATGGCTTCAAATGTTCATGATGAGCTCTTCCACCTGTGCTTCTGAAGCCCTGATCACCTGTCCACTCCCATCTTGGCCACCCTGTGCTAGCTGGCTCCCGGAGCACACACCCCTACACCTTCACTCAGAGGCTTCCCCCCCTCTGGGGTATTCTGCAGGCTCTTCCCTTCACCTAGTTAACTAGAGCTATCCAACAGCTCTCAGACTGGACACCATTTCCTTCAGGAAGCTCTCCTAATCTGATCCCCATATCTGTGTTGGTGACTTTCCTCTGTCCAGTTTCTCCTTCCCAATCAAGACATGCTGCAAGTGACTTGGAAACTGCCTGGTCTTTGGTGCTTCACCCACAGCCCACCTGTACCTGTCCTTTCCATCTCTAGGCAGTAGACTCTACCATGTTAGAACCATGAGCAAACTGCTCCCCAAGGAATCCCCACCACCCAGCTCACCGCTAGGGTGCAGTATAAAGAGCAAGGGGTGTGTGTGTGTGTGTGTTGTATGTGATACATTTTTTTTAAAAAAATCTCAACTATAAACCTGCCTGGCAAAGAGAGTGAATGGTGAGACTACTGTGATGCAGAGTAAATGTTTATCAAATGAAGACATAGATAACAAATGAATCCCTGCATTCATACAGGGGATGTACCTTGTCAAAAAAAAAAAAAAAAGTAAATTTTATCAAAATGCAAACTTAAAAAAAAATAAACCCCACTTTATGTTTCAGAAGAAACCAATCCACTCTTAGATCAAAATGTAATGCACTGTCAGGGATCACTACTTTCACTATTTATAGTACTAGTACTTTATCTTTGGGGTGTTTATCTTCATAGTCACAAGAAAACTCCCTTGCAGAAAGCCTCTGATTTTATACAATCTACTAATGACATCCATTCATGGAAACAGCTTTAGTTTTCTATCCAGTAGTTAATGCCTCAAAGTCAGATAAGACACAGAGAGCATCAGGAAAGAATCGCTTTTGAGAAAAAATAGACATCCTAGGTATAGGAATGTCTAACTAATAAAGCAAAGTGCATATGAATATGAACAAAAAGGGTCACACTTTTCCTTACCCATAGGTTTTTCTTTTAAGTGTGTACTGGGTACAAAGTTCCTTTCTGGTTGCTATGGTATTAATTTAACTTATAACAGAAAATTCATTAAACTACTTTTCATGAGACATATGCTTCTTATGCAATTAACAATACATTCAGCATCAATAAACTCTAATTTTAGAGACATTCATTTGCAAACATTAATCAGTTGATGGTAAATTCAATTTCTACTTGACTTCTGTTTTTCACGTTCAATTCTCCAAGGATATATACCATGTAGTACTCAAAAATATTAATTTACTTACTATGAAAGCAGATTGAATTCCTAGAAAATCTTTGTGCAATAAATATATACGCATATAAGTCAAATCAAAGTTGTATGAGAAAACAAATTTCTTAGGGAGGACTTTGTTATTGACCAAACACTTTCAAAGAACCAAACCTTTCAGAGAAATGACCATAATATCCTCTATATCATCAAATTAAAAACAATATTTCTGAATAGGTCAAAGCTTCCCAAATTACATACATAGAAAAATCACACAAATTTAAAATATATTACCTACAAAGAATATGGAGACTTGGCATGACTTTATTCAAGGGGGTCACTACGAGGGGGCATAATTTTTCTCTATTCAGATTGCCCAACATAGTACAGATCTGACCAGTAGCTCCCTACCAGGAATGGTGACAATGAAAGAAATATGCCCCCATATTTCCAAATATCCAGTTGAGAGCTGGGAAGTCTTCCTTGTTTGCAGAAGAAACTTTAGCTAGACAAAAGGAACTTCCTGAATTGAAATCACTAGAAAAAGACAGTGCCATCTCTTGAGCCCAAGTCTCTGGGAAGTCAGTGTCCTGAGACCAGCAGAGAATGTCAAAGTAAGGGGCAAGCTCTGATCTGACTTTCAGTTCAGGCTTTGGCTTCCTGCCTTAGGTAACTTGTTCATCACATATTTTCTAAGTTAATATCTACTCATTATACTGATTACTTGCCAACTCCCTTGTCCTTTTTGTTCATGTCTCTCCCTGATCTCAATCTTGGATCTATCCCATCCCAACTGCACCTGGGCTCTTCTCTCTGTAGACAAGAAAGGGTGGGGGGGCATCATGAATCCAGAGCTTCCATTGTGCAACCCTGAGGGACAAGCTTTCTATGTCACTGTCACCAAACACTCCTATTCACTCCACAGGGCATTGTCCAATCAGCAGGTAATATCTTCCATATCACAGAGAAAACAGAGGCCTCCACTTCCTTCTGTTTGTCCACCAATTATTCTAACTTAGTAGCTGGAATTTGACTAGTCAACTATGAAATGTGAGAGAGGCATTTCTCTTACTTCCCTATCTCTCCCATTTTTCTCTTTTGCTTGGTTTATTTTATTGCATCTCCAGCATTAGAGTGAACAGAAGCCACGTGCCAGAGACAATTCTGTGTTTTTGCCAACTTTAAGAGTAAGTCTAAAGGAGTCTCACTAAATTAGAGGTCGGTTGTGTACGTTTTGGGTAAATAGTTCATTTCTGTACCTTGTTATTTAAGAGTTTTGTCATAATCTTGTATCAGAGTATATAAAATGTTTCCCAGTACCTATAGTCTTTTTTTAAACATTACCATGTGGAAAATTTTAAAGTCAAAAATTCCTATTTCAATCCCCCTGATCCATTTCATCAAGTTTTAATTTTGTAGTTTACCAATAGAAGAAAAACAAAACTCTAGGGCCACTCTTCTAAAGGTAACCCCCTCTATACTTGTAGGTTTGAAATTAAAATTCAGTAGTAAACTTACAGTAACTAAAAGGGTCTTGCATGCTTACCCGGATGTATGCATCCTGATGGTGCTTAGCAAAGTAGAGCATATTGTCCAAAGCCAACATTCCAGGAGGAGTCTGAGTAAAGTCCATGGCAGGGTTGACATGGTTCTGTGATGAAAATAAAATGTTACATGAGATTTTATTATTATCATTATTGTTATTATTATTATTATTATTATTATTATTTGCTTTCCATGAATTTATTTTTTAAATTTTTTATTACTACATTACTATTTTAACATTATTTTTAATTCTAAAGTTTTATAGAAGTTAATACTTATAATTTAAATACAAATGCTTTCATAGGCTAAGAGCATGATATACATGTAAATGTTATTATGTTTTATTAGTGCATTAAAATTATACATAATAGTGGGATTCATTGTGACACATTCATATATAACATAATTTACTCCAATTCATTTCCCAGTGTTTCCCCTTTCCTGCTCTGCATTCCCCCCACCTTGTCTCCCTTCTTGTACTCTCTGTATTTCTTTTATTTGTTTACATGTACATTTTTTCATCATTGCATTATAATTAAATATAAAAGTGGGCTTCCTTGTGCATATCTATAATGCATGTTAGCAGACTTCACTGACCACCAGTGAACTGGTTTCCCTCCTACGACGGAAGTGCCAGAAGACAAGCTCTAAATAATCAAATATGATGGTGTTTTCTATCTCCCTGTAAGCCTTCTAGGACTGGAGAAGGTACTTCTTCCAGCTCTACAGGTTCAGCAAAACCAGCTTTTATACCCAGAGTTAGGAGACCTCGCTGCAGCTCAAAATGTAAGCTTATTCATAGACATATAACATTGTGAGAAAAAGAAAAATAACACAAAAATTACATTTCTGGTAGCTTCACTGAAGTGGAGAAAGATCTGGATAAAGCCATGTGTCTGCCACTTATCTCAGAAGCTGACTTCAGGAAGCATTACCTATGAGCACCTTAACTTCCTCACCCTCATGTGTGAGATTAAGTATGGCCACACGTGGCCACAGGCTTTGGGAGGCCTCCAGGGTTACAAAGTCCTCAGGCCTCTAAATTGTATAGATACTGAATACAATTCAGATGTCCACAAGGTCCCGACATCCACCTGCTCCCAGAGAGCATGTCTGGTATTATGGTCACCACAGATGGCACGATGACATAACAGTTACAAATATTTTAGTTGTAGATAGGACACAATATCTTTATTTATTTATTTTTATGTGGTGCTGAGGATTGAACCCAGTACCTCACGCATGCGAGGCAAGTGCTCCACCACTGAACTACAACCCCAGCCCATTGACCCTGATGATTTGTGTGTGTTTATTTTGTACCCTTCAACTTCACTGAATTCATTTAGTAATGTGAAGAATTTTGTTTGTTTGTTTGTTTGTTTGTTTGTGGGGTCCTCAGGATTTCCTACAAAAGATCATGTCATCTGCAATCAGGGAAAATTTGGTTTCCATTTTCCAATTTGTCTAACAGTCCTTCCTTCTCTTGCCTGATTGCTCACACACTGAATAGAAATTGTGAAAATGGGCATCTTATTCTACCTCAAAAATGATGACTGTGTGAGATAAAACATTTGTTACTTAGCTACATTTAACCATTCCACAATGTATATGTATATTTCAAAGCATCATGTTTTACATGATAAAATCATACCTTAACTGTTGATATAAAAAATTGAAACAATTTAAGTGCCTAAAGATTATTAAAAAAAAAAAAACTACTTTCATCTCATGACTCAAATAACTTGCATGAAATGGCATATTTACATTTGGCCCTGAAAACTTTTTAATAAACAGTTTGAATCTCTGTTTTGCTAGGGCAATTTGTGTTAAGGGTAATTTTTTCTAATTCTGGTACAGGAAGGCCTTTTCATTCCCTTGTTCAAGGTTCAATCCACCTACACTTTTCTACATTATTCAAGAGTACATCAGTTTAGTCTTTGCCGAGCTGCTTTGAAATTTTGTTTATGAGCTAATGAACGACATCTAAAATCATGAAAGAGTGGGGCTGCCTACTGGCCAGAGTTCCAGTTTCAAAACATCCCTATTCATCATGTCTATTTAAGTAGGTTATGTCACTGCATTGATTTGAATATTTTATTTTAACATTTTATCCTGATTCATTTGTTAAAATGTTGGTAAGTTTTTAAAATACCAAAGTACTACTGCCAATAAGAAAGATAGAGCTCACAAAATACATATAACTGTAACAAAAATGAAAATCATTTTTTATGTCAAATGCAGTGCAGTTCAGCCTCAATTTGACATTCATTGAAGAGGGTCTAACTTATATTCAAGAGTAGAAAAAAAATTCAAAGTACTAGAAATAAATGACCAGAGATTTAGTCAAAAGAATAACTTATATTTAAAGATGTTATATTTTTAGCTATTTAGCAAAGCATGGTGGAACCTTCCCCATTACACACAAATTTGTAAATTGATTACTTTGCTACATTAGATTTTCATGAACATAAGTAATAACATAAAAAAGGTTGCTATTTGTTGAATATTATCTGGGAATGAGCAATATCATGTACTTACATATATTAAGTCTCAAAACACCCTTATTTAGTAGGTACTATTGTTATTCCCGTTGTGCTGATCAGGAAACTGTGGCTCAGATAACTCAGAAGCCTGCCAAGAACCTCAAAACGTGGCTTTGGCTGAGCAGGCAATGTCCCTCTTTGGACAGTGCATCTCAGCAATCTTTTGTTCCCAACCTTTTCCTTCCTGCCAGTTTAGAAGCTGGATGCCTTTGTTTTGGTATGCTTAGCATTTAGATTTAACATGGATGGAGAAAATTTTATTTCACAAAAATGTAGACGAAGCAATGTTAGTTTCCATACAGCATGAGCCAACAAAGACAAGTGAGCCAGATAGAAAAAGAAAAAAAAAATAACATTTATTTCAGACCTATTTCTATTATTGGTCTATGAGTCTATTTCAAAACTAACCCCGAAGAATAAATCAAGTCAAATAATTAATTTCCCTTAATCTGACTTCAACAAGCCTCTAAAACTGTATGTTAGTGAAGATGACCAGAGAGATTGGTGCCCACAGCTCCACAATCGTCCATCACTCTTGCTTGAATTCTGCACCCAGGACCCCCTGGAAGCCTCCTTCTATCTATCCAACCCTTCCTGAGGCATACACTGTGGGTATAAAATAGGAAACTGTTGTTTTCAAAAGATCCTTAGAGTTAAAAAATTATATACACTTGATTATTTATATACATGGAGAAATGTTCTAGGATCCTCTATGGGTACCAACATCTTGAGAGTCCCTATATAAAATGACATAGTATTTTCATATAATCTATATACATCCTCAGTGTACTTTAAATCACCTCTAATGTTATTTATAGTACCTAATATGATGTAAATGCTATGTAGCTATTTGTTAATCTATACTGTTTGAGGAATCCTTAATAAGCAAAAAGTCTGCACATGTTCAGTACAGTTACAATTTTTAAAAACATTATCTATCCACAATTGGTTCAATCTGTGGATGAGGAATTCACAGATATGGAGGGTGAACTGTAACTGATTTTTGGAGTTGTTTTAAAGAACCATACAGTAGTTGGCAAATCACCCTAGTAAAGTAATACCTATTATGTGCAGCTATTGTGCAAGGCATCTAGCATGTGCTAGCCCTTTATCCTCACAAAACCCTCACTGGGTCAATGCTATCATGATCTTCTTTGACAAGAAAGAACCCAAGGGCCTGAGAGTTTGAGTAACTAGTCCAAAGTTTCAGAACCAGTATGCATCCAACCCAGAAGGTGAACTCAGAGCACAGGTATTGGAGAAGAACTGTACAGTATCAGGTTGTTGACCAATCTGACCTTGCTTCAGATTTCACAAAGATGTCCAGTGCAGGTCCCCAGTTGTTGGGGTCCTCCTCAATCAACATCATTCCCTCAGACAGAAAGGGACTGCAATTCATCCCACTTAATAAAAGCTATAATTTCTTCACCCTTTCCAGACATTATAACAGACCTAACTCTCTTGTGTTCATTGGACCATGTCCTAATTGTCCCCAACAAATAGGCTCTTACTAAACAAAAGTCAATTAGAAAAAAATTGCTTTTGATTTACAATGATTCATTCTAAATTATGAAGCATCACTATATTTTAGGTGAAATGAACATTTTGTAGTTGGAGAAGAACTATGTCTATCCACCCCCCCTCTCCAGGTATCATTTTATCATTTTCCCAGCATCTCTCTCCTTGAAATGATTGTTTTGTTTTCTTGGTTTTAATAGCTAGTGAAATAATTTTATAACCACGGATGTTTGATAATGGAAAAAGGAAAAGAATTACAGGCCCAAATATTTGAAAGCTTTCTGTACTGTGACAAAAATACTCTGAGAACCGGCAAGGCCAGAGCTCCCCCACTCCTTTCTTATTTATGAGATGCTCTGGGTACAGATTTATTTTCTTTTCTTGTTCCATGTTATTTTTTTCCACCTGTCTTGAAATGGAAGCTGCAAGAGCTTTGATAAATGGCTTGAAATTTCCCCTTGTTTTACTGCAAAGCCTGTGTACCTCTGTACATCCTTCTGAAATGTCATTTGTTAACTCCTGTAGAAGCACTGCTCTGTGAATCACAGAGGACAGCTCTAAACCCCTAGAGAGAAGGGAAATGGCTGCTTTCCTTTCCAGAGCACCAGAGTTTGTCACTTTGGGAACGTGGTATCAACCAGCTGAAGACACCTTGAGCTATTTTATAGGAAGCACCCTATGTGCAATTTGCTAGCTAATTCTTGGAGATCAGTTTCTCTCCTGTTACTCACAAACCAGTTTTTCAACTAAATTATTTCAACTATACATTCAAGGGAAAGTTATAAGCTCTAAAACATAAAATCTCTAAATCTCCTCTGGGCCCATACACCACAGCCATTGGAGACGATGGTGCACCATAAATACAACCAAGGCCAGCCCCTTACTATATAGACAGAACACCAAACCTGTGATGGAGAACAGCAGTGTTAAACCATGAGCGGTTCCCTGAATCTCAAGAGCAACACTTGCTGGCCCCTGATTTCTGGAATCTCTGATTTCTTAGGTCTGGGGTGGGTTCCAAGAATTTGCATCTCTAATAAATTCC